AAATTTTTTCACTTAAAGTGATATTATTATAAAAATAGATTCGGGCGTTGAAATTAGAGGAGGCACAGATGCTGAATGCAAAGAGTGCAAGCAATGCAAATAGACCTATTAATTAATCTAATATCATCTAATCAATAATTGTACCAGCCAATAATACATATTTCCGCTTCGATATAAAATTATAAAGACAAAAGTATTAAAAAGTAACGAAATAACAAGAAAAATGAATTCTATTTTTTCTTCTATATATTTAATAATATTTATTTATTTAATAATAACATAAATTCTAAGGTTTTTCATGAATTTTATGTAATTTAGTAAAAAATACCGTTTTTTATAATACTTAATACTTTTTTTGAAATAAAAAATACGTTTTTTTTTACATCTGACAACATATGTCAAGGTCAAGGTCATCGGAGCTGTCTCCCCTATTCAGCATATTTACCGAATATTTATTTAAAAACTTTTTTGGGAAATTTTGAAAAAAAATTTTTTTTAAATATTGTTAACGCGAATGAACATAGCTAATTTTGTTGTAAAACTTTTATATAAAAAAATGTTTTCTACGAAATATTTTTTGATATCCCGAATAGTTTTCGAGATATAATGGAATAAATTTAAGCTACAAATTGCTTTATACATAAATGATTTCACTCCAAACCGTTTTTTGATCGCAATTGATATTTTCTAAATTCATCTCTTTAAGCTATAAATACACAAAGTTTCATTAAGATCAGAATTTGATACCTCGCGAGGTTCTCTTGTGAGCCAAAAATAAGAACAAAATTTTTAGTTCAAAATTTCATCCTCTTTCACTTCTAAAAATATTAATTAAGAGTTATGAGACACCCTGTGTGTATATATATACAGGGTGAGGAAAAAGTACCGGGACACCTGAATATCATAGAAAACATAAGTATTACAGAAAAGCGATTCAGACAAAAGTTATAGGGTTCAAAAAGATCTATTTACTGATCATATCCGTTTGGCCTTGCGTGGCGTCTTCAAGGTAAGATCAAGGTTAGATCAATTTTTTTTAACAAGACACCTTATTTTTCATTGCATATTCTTATAGCCCATTTCGAGAGCTTTCCAAAACATTATAATAAAATATTTTTTCATGAAATACTTTTGGAGTTATAAGGCTCGAAAGTTACAGTACAGTTGATATTAGCATTACGCAAATTGTCCGACAAACGGCTAAAACCTCTTGAATGCTGTTCAACAAGATCATGTCCTGGATAACGTTTGTCAAGATCAAGGCCATTGGAGATTATCCCTCTTATTATCATTTTTGCACTAAATTTATTGCAACCGGGACACCTAAATAACTTCTAAACCGTTCGAGATAGTGGATTGAAGTTTATAGGGATGCAAATGGCATCATAAAATCTATCATTTAATACCAAAAGCGCCCATTTGAACACCCCCGGGGGTCGGTGGGGAAGGGGGGCGGAAAAATCTTAAATTGCACGTGGGGTCGAGTGAGGGCTCGTTTGAAAGGGCCTTCCAAGATGAGAATAACGCGTGGTGTCTCAGGTCTCTGCGATTTTTTTTCGATAGATTTTATGATGCCATTTGCATCCCTATAAACTTCAATCCTCTATCTTGAACCGTTTAGAAGTTATTTAGGTGTCCCGGTTGCAATAAATTTAGTGCAAAAATGAAAATAAGAGGGATAATCTCCAATCTTGATCTTGACAAATGTTATCCAGGACATGATCTTGAACAGCATTCAAGAGATTTTAGCCGTCTGTCGGACAATTTGCGTAATGCTAATGTCAACTGTACTGTAACTTTCGAGCCTTATAACTCCAAAAGTATTTCATGGAAAAATATTTTATTATAGTGTTTTGGAAAGCTCTCGAAATGTGTTATAAGAATATGCAATAAAAAATAAAATGTTCCATTTAAAAAAATTGATCCGACCTTGACCTGACCTTGAAAACGCCACACATGTATAAATATATATGTAAGTATGCATATATTTATTTATATGCATGTTTACATATGTATGTAAAGGTGCATTCCGTTCACGCATGGTGCGCATGATATATCATTTGATCCTTGTTGTTCATCGAATATTGAAGAATGACAAAAGGATAGATCATGCGCATCATAGGTGAAACGGAACGGAGCCTAAGTCGCTATACGTCTTTTTCAATGAAATGCTAATTTTATTTTACCTCATATATCAAAGCATCACCAGGTATACAAAAGAGCAGCAATTGAAAAAGTGCCATGATTAAATATGAGATGTATTTAATCGACTTGGAGATTGTACTTGCAGTTATGTTTGCGGTCGCAATTTGAAAACCTACTAGACATATTATGAGACTGCTAGCTAATGTTTGCAGAAATAACATTGGGCTAAAAACTGTTTCCATATAATCGCAAAACCTAGATACAAAATTTCGACATTTCTTATATGTGTGTATATACAGGGTCATCGAAAAGTATCGGACCCTCCTAATATCTTCAGTTAGAATGCATTTTGGTGAAAATGTCCAATAGCAAAGTTGTATGGTTTCAAGCGAGGAGTAAGATAATGACCTTGACTTTGATCTTGACTATGTCCTTTAAGGTCATTTCAAGGTCCTTATTTTTTTTAACGAAACCCCCTACATTTTATTGCATATTTTTATAGCTTATCTCGAGAGCTTTCCAAAACACTATAATAAAACATTTTTTCATTAAGTACTTTTTGAGTTATAAAGGTTTGAAGTTAACAATTTTTTGACACAAAATGTAAAATATCTTGTAAAATATTATTTAGTTT